GTCAAGGTAGCTTGAGAAAGCCTACCCTTTATATTCTTCCAGACACCACTTATGGTGACATTAAGGGGCCAGTGGTAAAAAATGACTTCAGAAATAAATCTATGAACTTTGATGATTTGCTTGTTAGCTATCAGGTAGGGAATTATTACAAGGCTTTCTTTGGAATTTTTCTATCAGAGCTCATTGGTAGATTTCTCTCTCTTCAAATGACCACCCAAACATCAATTCTAAAACCTGATTGACATAAGATCATAAGATTTAGAGCTGAATGGAACCTTAGAGGTCATGGAGTGCACCCCTTTCATTTCACAAATGAGGAAACTAAGATTGTTACATGACTTGCCCAAAGTCTGTGACAGAGATGGAATTCAGACCCAAGTCTTCTTACTGTAGATCCAGTTTCATTGGTATACCTTTTCTGCATTCCATCACTGAAAGTTAAATGAAAAGTAAGAGTCCAACCAAAATATCATCTTCTGTTGGAAGGTGAAAGCCATTTTTTGCACACATGCATTCAGAAGATCTAGGTTATAATTGCAGCTCTGCCACATATTAGCTGTGTCATCTTAGGCAATTCCCTTCTCTACTCTGGGTCTCAGCTTTCTCGTCTGTGGAATGAGGGAATTGGATTAGATGAAAAATTCTAAATGTGGAGCAAACAAAATTCTAAGAGGGCCAGAGGATAGATTTCTGAAGCAGGGGTCAGTAAATTTGGATGGGAAAATTTTATGATAACTAAAAAAAAAACTGATAAAATTTTGATGACTTCAATATAAATAATTTCCTTTATAATCTTATGCATTTTTATGCACTTAAAAACATTATTCTGAGAAAGGATTCATAGACTGATAAGAGATCCATGACACAAAAAAGATTAAGAAATTCTGAACTTTAGGGTCTCTTTCAGCTCTAGATTTATGATCCTATGAAGTCTTAAGCACAATAGAATACCTGATGCTCTTCTGTAGTCCTGAGAGGACAAACTTATGGAATGGACTCTTTTCAAAGTTTTGACACAGCCGTGATATTTTCCTTAGGAATGCTTTTCATCAGAAATCTTTTCTATTTCATTAAATGTTCATTCCCCTTGGTTCCCCCATAGTATTTCTGGGTAAGTTATACTTGGGTATGTTGGATAAGTTTTCTTGGTTGTAATCCTGTATCCTTTGCTTTATGTAATATTATGTTTCAGACTCTCTACTCCTTTACAGGAGTGGCTGCTAAACTATGTCTGATCCTGACTATGGCTGCTTGATATCTGAATTCTTGCTTTCCAGGTGCTTGAAGTATTTTTTTTTTAGTTTGACTAGAAGTTCTGGATTTGGGCTGTAATTGTTTTGAGGTTTCTTTTAGGAGATGACCAGTGCACTCCTTCTTTACCCTATGTTTCTAAGGAATCTGGACAGTTTTATTTTTTCTTTTCTTTTCTTTTCTTTCTTTTCTTTTCCTTCCTTCTTTCCTTCCTTTCTTTCTTTTCTTTCTTTCTTTCTTTCTTTCTTTCTTGTCATGGCTTTCAGCAATTCTTAAATTTTTTCTCCTTGACCTGTTTTCCAGGTCAATTATTTTTGGTATTGAGATATTTTACATTTTCTTCAACTTTTTTAGACCTTTTGATTTTGTGTTAACATTTCTGAATGTCTCATGGAGTCATTGGCTTAAACTTGGTCCATTCCAATTTTCTAGGAATTTGTTTCTTGAGCACACTTTTGTGACTCTTTTGACAAACTATTAATTCTTTTCCCAATTCTTCCTTCCATAACTCTCATTTTTTCCATTTTTTTCCTCTAATGCTTTCATTTTATTTATAAAAAACATTTTAAACTCTTGCTTCATCTCTTGCAGGAATTCTAGTTGAATATGTGACCAAGCTTTGTTTTTCTTTGAGGCTTTGCTTGTAGTTGCTTTTGAGTATTTTTTTTTCTTTTGGGTTTGTCCCTGTCTCTGTTTTATGTTAGGATTCTTTTTTTTTTTTGCTTGCTCATTCTTCTAGCCTACTTCCTGACTTCAGACTTGATACTAGGGCTAGTCTTCTAGAGGGAAGGTCTGGGCTGATCCTGTTGTTGCTTTCTAGAGGTATTGAGTGTTGTATCATCCTAGGATTTCAGGGACATCTCAGGCTTAGAACCTGAAAGCTTCCAGTATCCCAAAGTGGTCTGAATCAGGGAAAAGTTTAATTGCTTTCCCCCTGGTTTGAGCTCAGCCAGATCCTGACCTGAGTTTGGGTGTGAACAATAGTAAATGGCTGCTAGACTCAGCCACTATCATTCAGCTGCAAGACTCAACTGGTGCAGAATAATAGAACTGTAGCCCACTTTTGGTCTGTGGTTTCTGTCCTTCTGTCTTGTTCATGTTTCAGACTAGGCTAGAAGCTGAAACTGAGACTGTGCTCTACTCTTGGGACCTGAGAAACCAACCGCTACTTGCTTCAGAACTTGTTTCTTGATAGATTCACAGCCCACTGGATACTCCTTACCGTGGAACCGCTCCCATAGGTGCAGTTCCCTTCCTCAGTTGGCCAGGGATCTGTGACTTAGAACTGGATAGTGGGTGACAAAGCTGCCAGTTGGCACCACTTCCTGCATCCTGTGCTCAGCGGTGCAGTGTGTGATGGGTCCTCTGCTTGCCCCAGTTCATACTCTCTCCCTGGACTCTAGCCCCAGGTCTGCAGCCCAGTCCCTAGTGTATGCAGACTCCCTTAGTCTGTCTTCCTATGCTGAGCTGGACTGGAAAAATTACAGCGACTTTTCCTTGGATTTGGTCATCAGGAGTCACTCTTGTTTTTTCAAAATCTATTTGGATAAGAATTTTTTTTTTCTTTGAGGTGGGGAGTTTGGGGAAAATCTGCTGTCTTCTGGAATAGATCCTTGTTCCATAGCACTTAACCTATTTGAGCCTTCTGGAACCCTGACCTGGCTGTGAGGAATAGAAAAAAGGAAAGTGACAAAAAATTTATAGCACAGCTTTCATGTCTCAAATTCAAGATTTGTCTTCAGACCAATAATTTTACCATTATTGTTTTTTTCTCCATTGTTTGAACTACCTTCTTTCTTGCCCATATTATATAGTTCTCGAATAGAACTTATTATGCATTCCTCACTTTTTTTTTGATTCACCTTGCCTTTAGAGGCAGCTGGTATGGCAGTAGATAGAGTACCAGGCCCAGAGCCAGGAAGACCTGAGTTCAGAATATGGCCTTAGACACTTGCTTGCTGTTTGACACTGAGTAAGTCCCTTAACTTCTGTTTAAGTCACTTAATCTTCTGTTTGGAGAAACTTCAGTTTCTGCAAATATAAAATGGGGATAATAATAGCACCTACCTCTCACTGTTGTATTTAATGATATATTTGCAAAAAGCACTTAGCACAGCACGAGCACCTAGTAAGCACTATAGAAATGCTTATTTTCTTCACTCATTCACCATATAAGCTCTTAAAGGACTGTACAAATTCTTAAGCTCCTCACATATCTTCTAGAATGCCTAACATAGTACATTTTTTCAGAGTAGAAACTCATTGATAGTGATTGAAGGATTATTTTTGGAAAGTAAGGGAGCAGAGAAACTAAATAAATGGAGTTCTGTAAGTGTTTCATAAAAGGGAGGTAAGGAAAATCAGAGAGTAACCACAAAATTCTACCCATAGATCTGATTAAAAGAAACCATGTTTGAGACTGGCTTCATGGCAAAATTAGTGAAGCAGCCTCCAAAGTTTACAGATAATTAGAATTATATAGATTCATCTCTTCTTTTATTTCTGTTAATTTGAAAAGGCACCAAGCACTTCAATTTAAGATCAAGTAACTTGAATAAGATCTTTTTTTAAATCAATTTCTTGTCTGCTCTTAAGAATCCTCTACCATCATCCCTTCATACTATGCCATTTAGATAACATCCATAGACTATATTATCTTTTCCTTTCTTCTTAGAGAGATTAGTCAAAGCTATATATATATAAACATTTTATGAATGTTTATGAATATTTTAAGGTGAAAATGACCAATGAATTTGATCTGGCATTCCTTCAAATAAATTGGCAATACACAACAACTCTAGGATCATGAGCTTGAATTAGGAAATCTCTTATAATACTATATGCCTTATCATTACCATAATTTAGTGTTTTTGACATATATTAGATATTGTCTTGAGTATGTAGATCATATGAATGTCCTACAGAGATGTGTACTTTGTTATTAGATACTATCTTAATAGTCATACCACTTTGCCTCTGCTGCTTTGCCTGGTTTCAATTCCAGGGAACAAGATGCTTCTTCTATTTCTAAACTCACCACTATGTTGCTTACTTAAGCCTTGATTAACAATCACCTGCCTCAGTCTTCTCTCCCCTCTGATGAGAGGGCTGGTGGGTGGAGTACCAAACTCCTCCCAATGTCTGCCTTTATAGTGGGCAGAAACTGGACTTTCAATTCACTCCACTTTGCATGTGGTGCTCTTCCTGGTTTCATCTTCATGGAACAAGATGCTTCTGCTCTGGGTGCTGTCTGGTGCCCCCCTCCCTGTCCCTTTTCCACTTTCCTTCCTCCTTTTAAATGTTCTCTCTCTCTTTAGATTGTAAGCTTCTTGAGGATATGGACTGTTTCTTTCTATTAATTGTATCCCAGTGCTTAACACAGTGTCTATTGGATTGGATTGGACCTTGGATGGGATTGAGATGATCTTGGGTTCTAGTTGTTAAAAAGCACTGGACACAAAAAGAAAAAGAAAATGTAAAGAAGAAACAGAATTGACCATCTCTAAGCTATATGAGTAACTGACTTTGCTTTAAAACTGGAGGCTAGAGTTCAGTAGAGGGGTTAAAATACTGCTGTTAATTCACGAGGTAATGGAAAAGACAAAGGGAAGGGAAATCACAGGGACTTCTAGACCTAGCTATGATGTCTCCCACTGTTGCCTGCTTCACTGTTGCCTTTGATCCTTTAATACGGTAAAAAGTTTCTATGACGGGCATTTCTTTTAACTTTTATTTATTTTGTCTTTTAGGTAGACAAAAAAATAATTCGAACTGAAATAGGAGTCCTTCTTCGCCTTTCACATCCAAATATCGTAAGTGATTTTCCACCCTTGTAACTTGAATTATTTCCAGAGCCTCAGTATAGATTTGTCCTGTACTTTCTGTTAATGAAGTGGACACGAATATATTTGTGGGAGGCCTAGTCCACCTATTTTCTTTCTTTTGACCACATTTATAACTGATACAAAATCGATGGCTGAAACAGACTTATAGTAATTCATGGTGGTAAATATGACTCGAACTAGCAGATCAGCTACAGAAGTTCATTCATTTCAAGCACAAATTTCGTGCCTTAAATTGATTGTCCAAGATGTATAACACGTTGCCATCTAATCATTGAGCATTTAGTGAGTGTGTTGTTTTCTTCTTCTAGGAACCACTCCATTTCTCTAGATCCATAGATCCTGAAACCCTGAACAGACACCCTCATCTCTAGTGAGGTGGGAGAGTCCCAGTATCTCCTGACATTAAAAAGTCTCAGAATTGTGTTAAATTATGTCCATTCAAAGCCACTGACTTAGACAGTTTGGTCAAAAGCTTTTTTGGAAGCCTATCTTCATGAGGCCAAAAAGAATTTGTGTCATCAATATGCTGAAAATATTGCCATAAGGATTTCTTCTTCCCATGCACTGAGAAAGCTGTGGAGCCTGGAATACCTGTGTGGAATACTTAAGACTAATGGCTAAATGCTTAAAGGCTAGTCATTGTTCTGAGCTAGTCATTTACAAAGAGCTATCCATCCATTAATTTCTGGATATAAGCCAGGAAACTGGAGGGGGAAATATTCTTTTAAACTGATTCGATTATCTTAAAATAGGTCAATTTTCATTTTTTTTTAACAAACATTCTAGTTTGTCTCCAATTGTATGACCACTGATTTTTTCATTTTCAGTACATTTTCAGACCACCATGTGAGCAGAGATGTTGTTTAGTGTTTTCCCTTCTACTGCCATTCCCCATTCACTCCAGGCTCTCTGATTTCAAAGTAGACTTTTGATTCCCTAAAACTAACATGGCTTAATATAGTTCAGAAATATCTTTCTAGAATAGTTCTGAAACTGGATCATTTGTTTAAATAAAGAGGGAATCTGAGATCTGTGATCTTCAATATGCCAGGTAAAAGCTTCCCTATGAAGATAAGAGGAAGTAAGGTAATAAGCAATTATTAAGCACATACTATGTGCTAGGCTAACTGCTTCTCAAATATTATCTTATTTAATTCTCACAACAACTCTGTGAGGTATGTGTTATTATCTGCATTTTACAGATGAAGAAACTGAGGCAGTTAGAGGTTAAGTGACCTCCCCAAGGTCACACAAGTAGTATGCATCTAAGGTCAGACTTGAATTCCAGACCCAGTAGCAATATTTACTCTACCACCTTCCTGCCTCTGATAAAAGTCAAACTGGCTTGACTCTGTTTTGACCAACTTTATTGCAAGGGAGTGGCAAATGAATTCTTTGCAATAAAACTAAAAACCTCTGTTAACTTGTCATTTACTACTATTTTAGTGTTGATGGAATGTTTCTTTAGTTTCAGTTAATTCCTCAGGATGTAGTATTAGGAAAGGTGAAAATAATGAACTTGTGACTTTTTCATGCTTCTCTGCAGATAAAACTAAAAGAGATATTTGAAACACAAGCAGAAATCAGCCTGGTTCTGGAATTGGTCACAGGAGGGGAACTGTTTGATAGGTGAGTGGTCTATGGAAGTCAATTCTCAGAAAATTTTATATTTTGGACCACAAAAAAGCATCCAGGGAGAATTTCTTATGCCCATCCCTCCATCCCTCCATCCATCCCTCCATCCATGCATCCATGCATCCATCCATTCATCCATCCGTCCAATATTTATTAAACATTAACTATGTACTGAAAAGTCTAATAGAGGGATAAGGCACAAACACAGTAGTGAGTCACAATAATATATAATCAGCTTATTAGAGAAGTGCAGAACAAAGATTTATGTGAGGTTTGTATGGGAAGATTGTAGTAGTAAGAAAAATATAGACTGTTTAGTTAATTTGCATATCATTTATTTGGAAATCCCTCTAAGGAAAATTTTTTTTAAGAAGATATTTCTAATGAAATAAATTCTCAACAGGGAAAAGAATACCACTGAATAATTGTCAGTTGATAAGACTCCTAGGAGAATGATTTAGTAGACCAAAATCTACAGAGCTTGGGCAATTAAAGAGAACGTTACAACATCTAATTATACTGGCAGATTATAACCAGCTTTATAGTTATGTACAAATGTTATTGCAGTTCAGAGGAGAAAACATAAGGTTAATTGTATCTTATGAGAAAAATGTTATATAAGGAGAACAACTAGTATTTACCAGTATTCTATGTTTATTACAACTCTAATGCTGGAAATTCTGCTACACATGGCACTTCTTTAAATCATTCAGTTAAGACCCGATTTTTCTGTGCAGCAGTTTTCTCAGAGCCCTGATCTCGGGGGGCTTCAAGTTGCCCATCACAGTATATTATATAAATGACTAACTTTGTAAAGTTATGCTTTTTTTCCCCCAGGGAAGCTGAGGGTTGAGAGTGGATATTGTCCCACAGAAATGTAAACCTAACTTAGTTTACTGAAATCATGAATCTTGCCAGCAGAACTTTAACTCTGCCACTATATGAGAAAACAGCGTTACACATTGATTAAACATATTTTCTGACTATCATTTTTTAGTTAATCCATAAAATTATCTCTAGCTTTTCCTATGCCTCCTATATAGTATTTTAAACACGTGAACCAAGTGAGCCCTTATAACATAGATATGTGTAATAGATAGATACATAGTCCTTTGTTTCACTTGTTCATTTTTATTAAAGCCTGTCCATATTCACATTTTCTCTTTTATAAAATGTATAACAATCCTGAGTATGTAGTAGATAGCCAAATGATTAATTTTAATTAATCTTTAATTTAAATTAATTAATCAATTGTATTAATTAAATGTATTGAAAGTCTATACATATTAAAGCATTGATATTGTTATTTTTATAACTTAGCATTTAATGCTTATGTTACCATATCTTGCTTTCACCTTGTTGAATTTTTCTAGTTATGTAGTCCATGTCTTTTAGACATCTTAGAATCCAGATCTGAGAGCAAGAAGATAGATTGTAAGCTTCTGGAAGTGTACTTACTGTACATAGTAAAATGCCCTTCATGTTATAGGCACTTAATAACTATTTGTTAATTTGAATTGAATAAACAGAATAGAAGTTTAGATAATATTCTATCTATAGCAATCATCTACTTCTTTACCTAGCTGTTGTGTAAGTTTATCTTTGCATCTATTACCTATTTCTCCATTATCTGGGTCTATAAGACTCTTTGCATATCAATGTCTGTCTGTTTCTCTCTCTATCTAATCACTCATATCTGTTTCTATGACTATCACCTATTCTTAGCTATAACAATATGGTAAAAAGAGGAAAACATATTGGAAATGGAGTCAGAGAGCTCAAATTTCAGCTTTGCTGCTTACTAACCTATGTGATCTTGGGTCACTCTGAGCCCCAATATCCTCATTTGTGAAATGAAGAGGTTGAACTAGATGATCTCTAAAGTGTCTTCCAGCATTAATGGAGCTATTTCTATAAACGTTTTCATCCATTTCTATAAACATTTTGATAGAAACAATATTTTTATTGACTGGCTAGAGATATCTTAAGACTCCACACTATTGTAAATAGATTAATTTTTCCTTAAAGACAAGTGAAACTATCCTTGAGATTTACTTGGCTCAGGGAACTAAGACCCAGTACTTGACATAGCTTGCTGGCCGTCTATGCATAGAAAAGTCATGAAGAACTCTAGCTGGCTCCTGAGAATTAGAACGAGTAAGATTGTCAATGTGACCACCATTGGATAACTAACCCTGGGAAGCTGTATCCCAGTTAAATCATCTATCCTTTCTTTCCCTGATCTGAATGTCATTCTGCTACTATAACTAAGTAAACCTCCTTTTTCTAACTGTTAGGTAAAATACTAAGTGTCTCATTTCATTCCAGTCTTGTACTTGAGCCACTGGACTCTCTCAGGCAGCTCTAACCTACCATAATATTTATACAATATACATCTGTCTGTGTGTTCAAGAACATGTTTGCTTTGATGTATGCTAAAGGACCACAGCTACCTGGTTGTACTAGGGCATGGTTTAAAGCTTCACATAAAAAAGGAAAATAAAAGGGTTTTTTGTTAAATACAATGTTTCCAAATATATCACTTTTCATATAGAATGACCCCTTAATATTTTAATGAAAGACATTTGAAGATTGGCAGACAGCCAATAAGCATTCAACAGAGCCTCTAAACTCAGTGGTTTTTATGGGTGGGATTTTTTTTTTCAAATGAAAAATTTGTCAGCAGTACCAATAGAATCATTGACACTGAAATAGACTTGGTTCCGCCATAAAAAACCTGAATTTCTCAGTTATTTTAAAATTTTTCTTCAGGCTGAAACTGTCCTTGGATTAGGATATAAGCTTGAAAATAAATTTTATCTAAATGAATTTTATCTAAAAACAATTTGAATTTAATTTTAAAAGGAATTAAGTTATGATTATTTGAATTTCCAGTCTATTAGAGTGATTATCTTCATTTTTATACTAACAATGATCCTGATCAATCCTTATTAAACATTTATGCATAATCAAGATGATGCAACCTAATATATGAATGAAAAAAATTGTTCAGAAATACTTTAAATGAAAACAAATTGCTGAAGAAGTCTAGGCAGATACCCAACTGAGTAGCATGCCAATATTAATTTCTGGTTGCCCACATTTTAGCAAATACACTCACCTAATTTGATTGTTTCTGTGAAAATATGACATTAGGAGAAAGAACCTTATAGGGGGAAGTTACTTTTATAACTTTTTAGTAGGGTTTATTGGGTTTAGTTATAACATAATAATATTAATGTGAAGTGATGTTGACTAGGGCCAAATTATATGGAATTTGACTGTAGACTGTTGTTTCAGTTAACATGGGAACTTTTGAGGGGTCCGCAGAGCACTGTGGTCCTCTCTCTTTCTATAGCAGGAAAGATAACCTGTCATAATGGATAGAGTGCTGGATTTGGAGTCAGGAAGGTCTGAGTTCAAATCTCACTTCTGACACCTACTAGCGTGTGTAACAATAAACAAGTCTCTGAACATATAAGCCTCAGTTTCTTAATCTGTAAAAACAGTGACAATAGCTGAGTGTATTGTTGAATGCCTGTAATCCCTGTTGCTGGAAAGGCTGATGGGTAGATTGCTCCAACACAGGAGTTCTAAGCTGTAGTGGGCTAAGATAATTGACTATCAGCACTTTCCCTGACATCAACATGGTAGGCCCCTGGGAGCAGGGGGCTAGCAGGAGCAAACTAAGAAAGAGCAAATTGTTCCAAGTCAGAAATGGAGCAGGTCAAAACTTCTGAGCTTATCAGAAATAGGACTGCACCCTTCAGAGGCCACTGCATTTCCAGCCTCAGTGAGATAGGGACACCCAGTCTCAAAAAAAAAAAAAAAGGAAAAGTGACATAAAATAACACCTGTAGCACTTACTTCAGAGAATTATTGTGAAGCTCAAATGAAATAATGTATATATGAAAGCATGTTGCAAATGTTAAAACACTAAATATATGTCAATGATTACCATATAGAAAGTGAGGGAATTGTTTCAGTTGCCAACTCTGCATGTGTTAAAAACATGCTGATATTCATGATCAAAGACTCATAGAATACTTTTTTATACATTGGATTTCTTCCAAAGAATGAAAATTTTCTAGAGATGAAAAACACTAAGAAGCAAGTCAAGAAGAAAAAGATGATGAGAAGAAACTTTTCTAACTGGAAGAACTGAAAAAAAAAAAAAGGAAGGGTTTGAAATGCTGACCAGCAAAAACTGTATGCTAACGATGAGACTTTTCATGAGGATAGAGCTGGACTTTCTAAGGAAGAAATATGATTTTATATACCATGGAAATAGAAGGTGGAGTCATTGCTGGTACCAACAGATTAAAAAAATATGTTGATGATTTTAAGAGGAAGAGGTACATGAAGTTGGTTGGTGACACCCTTCTTAGGCTGAGGATGTGGCCATCTCTAGGTGTCATGGTCAGACAGATGTGTGACTTTCCTGGACTGCATATCGCGAAGGTCATGCAAAAGCTGCCGAGTCACTAAAACTGTCAGCCAAAATTTTTGGCTGATTCATTTGGAATCTAATCTAAATAACAAAGGCAGAAGCAAATGCTAATGGGCTGTGTGACAGAATTAGGGTCCAAAAATATCTCAACAGGCTGGAATTAGAGTGCTAATACAATAGGATGGTATTCAATAAAGTTAAGTACAAGAGCCTACGCTTACGAAGTATAGGCTCGGGGACCCATTGCCTAACAGCCACTTGTATGAAAACAGGTGGAGGGGTTTTAGTTGACTGGAGTCATTGGTATGAGTTAGCTAACACATAGGCTGCGTAGAAGTGTAGCATCCAAAACAAAGAACATGATCTATTTATCCATTTCATTCTCTGCTGGTCAGATCCTATGCAGAATATTTTGAGAGGATAAGGAGGCATTGATAAACTAGAGCAGAGGTGTCAAACTCTCCTGGTGGAGTCATGCTGCCTGCAAAACTTGCATGCTGCTGAACCAGATTAAAATGTAATTGGGAAATGTTCAGCAAAAGAA